ATTTTTATCATATTTATGATCTTAATAAGATTTAATTTTTTATAATATTTTATATTTAATCTATACTATATTATAAAACATTTGACAAAAACTTTTAAAAATCATTTTTTATGTGTAAAATATTATTTATTAATGCATATAGATTGTGCGTAAGTACAACTTATTAAAGTTCCATATCTGAATTCGTGTAATTAACTGCAGATAAACATAACCAAATACAAGATAAACATCTCATTTTAAATATAAAAATCTAAAATATAATTAGGATAATCATTGAGTTCTAACATAATACTTAATTATTATTTTTATAAAATGTTATATTATTAAACCAAAGATAAATTATTTCGTTATTAAACTTAAATTAAAGTATAATAAAAAAATAAATTAAAGAAATTACATAAAAAGAAGAGAACTTTTAAATAGTTGATTTGATATTAACATTGATATTTTTTTTCTCAAATTTTTATGATATTTTCAAATTTATATTTTATTCAAAAATAAAATCATTATTGCTTTATTAAAAACGTATAAAATCGTATTATAACATTGACAGAGACAAATAATAAAATAGAACATTAAAATCGAGATGTGTCTCGTTATATTGCCAAGTACTCTTCTAGTAAGCATACTTAATTTTATTTAAATAATACATTTTTTTATTTAAATCAATATTTTAAAAAGAAGTATAATTTTCACCAAAATATCACGTAATTCATAATTAATTGTTTTTTTTAATGTTTCCCTAATCATATGTGATTTAAATCTTGAAAAATAATAATTAAAATTAAAATTTCAAAAGATAATGAAAAGAGAATCACATGTGGTATGAAGCAAAACATTTAAAATATACAATATCACATGTAATTCAAAACATAATTCATAATTTACCCTCATGTAAGGTTAGAGATAATCAATCACATGTGATTTTCCACTAAAATCAATATCACATATAATACATTGATGAAAATCAACGATTATTTTTGAAAAATAAAGTCGATTAATTATGGATATCATATATAGTTTTTGACAAAAAAATTGTAATTTTTTTTTATAAATAAACTACTTCAAAAAAATATTTTAAATGAAAAAACTAAATCACACATATTATAAATGTTGTAAAAAATTAAAAATAAATAAATAAAAAATTAATCATGCTTAAATCAACTATAAATAATCATGAATAAGTACTTAATTAAATGTATTAAATGATTTTTATATAAATAAATGAATTTTCATACATAATCTGTATACAATAAATGACACATGCTCTTTTGGACGATTTTTAGAAAGTTTTATTTAAGCCATCATTAAATAAATGATTGGTCTAGAATTATTCTCTTATTTTCTTAAATACGTATCATTCTCGTATGAGGTGGAGGTTCAAATGAGAGCAACTCTGTTTTAAGAGAATGCAAAAATATTTATAGGCATCCAAATATTTAACCCACAATAAAAATTAAAAGAAAATAAAGTAATTAATTAAAGATAATCATGTGATCGATTTCGTATTTATCTGTATTTTTGGTGACATTCTTATCTCTAAAATAATTATCATAGCAAAACCTACATAACGAACAGACAGGTTAATTAATGTAGACATGATCGTCGTTGGTTTTCGATTATCACAATATTGTCACATCGCTATCACAACAAAAATCACTCAATTATTAGATGATTATCAAATTAAAATCACATCATAAACAATTTTCAATTTATCAAATCATTATCACAATAAAAAATCATTTTCACAGTATTATCACATCATTATCGACAACGGAAGCAACGACGTAAAAAGCTTCCGATGATAATAACAAAATTTAAGGAATAAAGATAAATTTAGGATAACAGAAAATTATGGATAAAAATGCTAATTTATTTTTATTTATTATATTTTTTATTATGTGTTAATTAACTTTTATTCTTATTTATTCTATTTTTTATTATGTATTAATTAATTTTGGAGGCCTAGAAGTGTTTTCACATTTTCGTAAAACATGGATGTTCTCGTTTGAACCATTCCCTCTCATATGAATCTCCTTATATATATATATATATATATATATATAGAGAGAGAGAGAGAGAGAGAGAGAGAGCGCTTGGTTCAAATACTAACCAATTTTTTTTGTGTTAACTATGTTAATCAAGCTCAACCAATCATATTCCATCTTTTCACTTGGTTCAAATGTAACTCATATATTAAATACAAGGGTATTTAAGTAATTTGTCATTTTATGTAACTCCCAAATAATTAATTGGGAGTTACAAATTTGAAAATATCATAATTGATCATGATGCAATATTGACATTTATTTTAATCGACATGTGTTCATGTTCTATAATTCACATTTATTTTAATCGACAGTTTCTCACCTTTGACATATGAACACATCAGAAATCACACAGCCTTAGATGCCGTGATTCATAAGTGTTCATGTATATTCAAGTCACTAGATGTTCAGATGAATACATACACACACACACAAAGAACATATGAAAACATGTGAACACGTATGAAAACACACAGCCCTAGATGCCTTGGTTCATAGGTGTTCATGTACATACAATAGAGTTGGCTCCTGAATATACAGAAAATGTTCATACGGTTCACATGTTGTTCATAAGTCTAATTTTTTTTGTTTGATGTGGTTTGAAGATATACACAAGTTGTTCATATGTCTGACAACTCATGTATAAAAAATAAGTTACTTTTTACCTAAATAGCCTTTGATATTTTGTTCACGTATGTTAATTGAAAATATTAATTTAATAATTAATTTTTAAATATCATTAAATAACAACCGTTTATTATTCAAATTGACGGTCAAGATCGGTTAACAAAGTTAACACGATAATCTTGGTTAGTATTTGAACCAGCCCCGAGATATATATATATATATATATATATACATATATAGAGAGAGAGAGAGAGAGTTCCTTCTTTTGCAAACAATACAAATAAGAATATTTGTGTCTTTTTAATAAATTCGTACTTTAGGAATAACCATCTTTCTTAATATCTCGTAAAATATTATATTTAACTGATCCATTTTAGAAATAATCTCAACTTTAAAAATCTTAGTTTCGGTTGTCATAACTGATTTTATCACATTTTCTCCAACCATCTTAATTGTAACCATTTTGTTTCCCATATGAAAACAAACCAATTATTTTTGTCCCACATGAAATCAAACCAATTATTTTGGTTTCGCATATGAAACAATAACAGATTTTGTTACTCTCGCTTCATATCAATGTTGTTTCACTTACAAAACGAATACACTACTAGAAAACCAGGTATCAGCGACGAACATCAGCGAGGGAAAAAATCTCGCGCAGATCAACCAGGGATCAGCAAGGGAAATGCGAAAAACTCATTCAGCGAGGGATCAGCGAGGGAAAAGCCAAAAACTCAATCCCTCGCTGATCCCGGTCAGAATTTGGATGTGTTTCTCAGGCTGCTAATAGATGATCTAAAAATGTTGTATACGGAGGGTGTTCTTACGTATCATGCGTATCGTAAGAATAATTTCGAGATGAGGGTTATACTACTATGGACCGTCAGCGACTTCCCGGCTTATGCAATGTTGTCAGGTTGGAGCACGCATGGCAAGTTRGCCTGCCCATATTGCATGGGGGAGGTGGATTCCTTCCAGTTAGAAAATGGAGGGAAATCATGTTGGTTTGATTGTCATCGGAGATGGTTACCTAGAACATACCCTTTCCGTCGTGATTGAAAAGGATTTATGGCAGGTAATAGGGTGTTAACTGGTCCACCACCTGAAGTAACCGGTGAAGAGATCTGGGAGTTCGTTCGTCACCTTCCAACTGCTTATGAGGGTTGCCTGTATAGTTCAAAAAATAGAAAAAATAGTGGGTTCGGAACCAATCATAATTGGGTAAAGAGAAGCATCTTTTGGGAGTTGTCATATTGGAAAACGTTGTTGATCCGTCACAACCTCGATGTCATGCATATTGAGAAGAACGTTTTTAAGAATCTCTATAACACCGTCATAGATACGTCAAAAACTAAAGACAATGTAAAGGCGAGGAGAGATGTAGAGATTCATTGCGATCGACGGGATTTGCACATTGCCATGTCAGGCAACAAAGTAGTGAAACCAAAGTCATCGTACAGTTTGAGAAAACAAGTAAAACAAGTAAAACAAGTGTGTGCATGGTTGAAGAAGTTGAAGTTTCCAGACGGGTATGCTTCGAATATAGGGAGTTGTGTGAACCTTAAATATTCTAGCTTTTATAGCTTCAAGAGTCATGATTATCATGTGTTTATACAACGATTGCTTCCTATTGCTTTACGAGGGATGATACCAACTTCGATATGGGATGCAATAACTGAGTTGTGCACATTCTTCCGTGTGATATGTTCAAGGGTATTACACGTAGATGACTTGGTTCCATTGCAAACAAGTATTGTTCAAACAATTTGCAAGTTGGAAAAAGTCTTTCCGCCCAGATTCTTTRATTCAATGGAACACCTCGTGATACATTTGACACGTGAAGCTATAAATGGTGGTCTGATCCAATATAGGTGGATGTATCTCTATGAGAGGTGAGTTCCTAATTTTATTGAAATATAGTACAATATATTCAAATAAAACACTCTTTTTGTCCCTACATGTATTTTATCTCTTTAGGAAGCTTGGGTCGTTAAAGAGAACGGTTCGAAACAAAGCAAGGGTTGAGGGCTCTATCTTTGAGTCGTACCTTGTAAATGAACTTTCTACCTATTGATCCCTCTATTTTGATCCAACAATAGAAATAAGACATAATCGTGAGTCAAGGAACTTTGCCCCAAATATCCCTAGTTGTTCGGAGACCGACGATCGATTAAGCATATTCAAGGTTCCATCTCGTCCACTATTCATGAATGGTGGGAAACAAATAATCTTAAATTAACATGACCTGGACACTATCCATAAATATGTCTTGTTCAACTGTGTAAAAGTTCAACCTTTCCAGTCCAYCTTTGATGAAAAGATTCGACAAACTGAACCGAATATTGATGATGTTGAACTTGATAGAATTCGGGARGAGAGGTTTGCTGACTGGTTCTCGCACCACGTGAGTATATATATACTAGTCATTGGTATTAATATACATAATGCGATGACGTACGTTATGTGTTTCTTACGTGTGGCCTTCTTTTATAGGTCATGTTCGAGTTAAATGACTCAAATGAACAATTAAAATCCCTAGCACGTAGACCAGTCCATTATGCCACCATGCATCAGGGATACTTTGTGAATGGTTACAAGTTCCATACGGTGACCCATGGATCCGGTCGAGTTACCCATAATAGTGGTATATGTGTAAGGGGGGCCTGTTATGACGAGTGTGAGTCTGACTTCTATGGAATGTTAGATGAAGTTACAGAGGTGGAGTATTATGGCTCAGTGCGACAGGTGGTTGTCATGTTCAAATGCACTTGGTTTGATACTGCCTCRRGGRTTAGAGTTGACCYTAAACACAATTTGGTAGATATCAAATAYAAGTCTAGACTTGGATCCGATGACCCGTTCGTTCTAKCATCACAGGCAGAACAAGTCTATTATACTTCATATCCTTCGATGACAAAGGATTTGAAAGATTGGTGGGCAGTTGTCAAGACAAAGGCTCGTGGCATATATGAAGTGTCCGACATGATTAACGATATTGAAAATAATGATCATGTGGATGGAGAACATATCTTTCAAATCAACGAAAGGGTAACTCATACAACGTTCTCATTAGGAAACGAGCTCGAAGATGTTCGTCTTGCCACAGGAGAGCTAAACGTACTCCATAATATAAATGAAGATGAAGGTGGTGACAAATCGAACGAAGATAGCGAAGATGAACCAGAATTTGAAGACATAGATGATGATTCAAATGATGAAGATGAACCGATGTTATCTGATCATTCTTCTGATAAGTAGCTTGTCTTTTGTATGCTTATTTCACATTTGTACATATATAATCGTGATTTGTCTTTTTTCATGATATAATCTAATGTTTGTTTTTTCAGGAGATGTCAGGCCGAGAGCGCGGTAGAGGCTGTCATGGGAGTTGCGGCAGCCCCATGTCTGGTAGGGGTAGCAACTCTGCCCCCGCCGATGACATTGTTGAGTTTTCAGACACCGCCTTTCATGGTTTAGATGAACAAGAGGTGGCCATGGAGCCCCCAGCTTCGACAGGTTCGGGGTCGGGGAGAGGCCCCAACACAGAGATGCCGACACCTAGTCATTCGAGCCAACGAAGACATCTTTCTTTGTTAGCCCATGGGTATGTAGATGTGGTATAATACTTTGTATTACATAATAAAATAATATGAATGTCTTTGTGTTGTAAATATTTTTTTAATTGTACAGGTTTAAAGATGCCCATGTTATCTGGGAGATGACGACTATATTAAGGTCTTCCATTGCTGGTCCGTGGCATAGATGGAAGGAAGTACCTCAAGAAGCATGTGACTTGATGTTCCAGAGCTTTAGGGTTGGTGTACCATTTTAATGTAATTATACATATAAGGTTATTGTTTTTACATTTATATGAACATTGTGTATGTAGGCTAAGTTCCAGTAGGAACCTGAGCTGGATGACATTGTTCATGATTTATGGACCAAAGCCATGCACAACAGGTACTCAGACTGGATGAGCTCTGCACGTGATGGGTCGTGGCACAGGCCTATCCTGGTGATCAACAATGGGACGGTGAGGACTTCTCACTGTAGTTCCCAAATCATACAAATCAGAAATAATTCTTCAGATCAAGATCAAAAACAAGAGTAGAAAGAGATTTTCACCAAATCTTCAATAGATTTCTTTGAGAGAGAATTACAATGATTACAGCATTAATCAGATTAATCAAGTGAACTAACTACAATTAAGAGACTAATTACTATTTATACTAAGGAAAATAGTAAAGCCTAAATAATACAAAAACATTATAAAGGGAGAACTTGAATACAACTTTAAAGCACAATCTTGAACCCAACAATCTCCCCCTTTGGATTCAAGTTCGAACTCTTGTAAATTTGGTCTTTCTGAGTCCGAACAGTTTCTCTAACCTCCTTAGTGCATTCCGATATAGCAATTTTTCTTCAAGCAAATTCAAGGCATTAATCAGCAAATACCTATTCTTTGGACTCATCCTCTCCGACTCCACAGCTTTATCATTATTAACTCTCCTCGTTTCAAGCGCCCGTCTCACCATTCGTATAGTACCATCATAAAATTTATCCAGCTCACTGAATCTCATGATCTTCTTTATCCGACCCTCGACATCATATTTCACCCCAAACTCCGGTTGTTCAAGAATCATGTATAACGGATAAACTTCAATATCTTCTAGCTCTTGATCAGGTCTCTTCAAGTTAATGATTCTCTGATTATCTTCAAGACCCAGTTGGACATCAATAACCATAGACACTTTGACGTGACTCCGCATAAACCTTTTGATCGCATTAAGAGCGACCGTTACTCCTTCTTTTTTGTTTGTCATATTTCGGATTTCGTGGTACATGAGCTCCAAATCTTCTAAATACAAGTTGGAGAAGTCAGCTTTGCTAAACAACCAGACCTTACCATCTTGTCGTGTCACTATGAATACGGGATACCAGACTCTAAGAATTCTTTGTGCATCAATTTGTTTTATTGACACGACTCGATGTTTGGTTCGAACTTGACTGATCGGGAGACGCTTAGCTTTGAGGAAGTGCTTATACTCCATATGATAGTCTTTGGATTCCTTGTGGATACCAAGAATCTTATCAGCAGTGAGAGCTTTTCGGTGCCCGAGGAAGATGCCAAAATAAACATCTTCAAGATAAGGCTCTCTGATTCTTGCCCTGTCATAGCCTGGAAAGTTCGCACGAATTGCAAACGGCACATAATTCTTTGTAAATATCTCAGTTAGATAAAATGCCGCTCTAGGAGTATCGGACGCACCAACTTCAAATGTAGTGGAGGGTTCAGGCAATGTTTGATGATCACCCTAGAATGGGAAGATAGGATCTTCATCATTAATGTCTGCTTCAAAGTCGAAATACACTCCAGTTGATTCATCAATGTTATCAATATCTTTTCCAAAATCCTTCTCTCCACCCAGTTCTCTGGAAAAAGCTTCATTAAAACCAACATTGGCTGACAAATCCAGTAGCAACCTTGTTCCTACTGTGGAGTCCGCTAGCTTTTCAACCATTGGCTCGATCGCTGGATTTGTCTCCAACACTTCATCATCTTCAATAAATATTGGCTCAGTAGTTCTTTCCCTTGTAGATTCAGGAACAAAACTTTTGATATTAACGGCTTCAGAAGTTGGCTCTCTTTCAACATTTTGAGCACGAGCAGACGACTTAGCCAGCCTCTGTCTTTTTCTCTCCTCCTCATAATGATCAGGATCATCTGGATCATCATGCCTTCATTTCAGAGAGGTGGCTTGAGCTTGGCAAGTCTCTTCTAGGATAGATACCCGTTCAGAAAGGACATCAATTGAACTTTTAAGAACTTGAGTGTTTGATGTAGCAACCACATCCTGAAAGGCCAAAAACTCCGAGGCTCTAACTGTGGGATCATTGTCAATTTGCTGTCGAAGGAGCCCAACCAGATTTGCATCTTCCGTGTCAGGGTTTTGAGTTGACATCAGTTTGGCATACAACAAGGATTTAAGCTCATCCACCGATTGCTTTTGTACCGTCGGAGGCTCAGGCACGGGCGGTGGTGACGGCGCAGATGGTTGATCTTCTACTACTGGCTCCTTCCCCTATAACAACCTTTTGGGACTTGAAATTTGTGCTTCCATGTTATGTTGAACAGCCGTTAAGGCACCGTCCAAATATTCCCTTGACACGAAGTCTGATAAGATCACTCCTGGATCACTTAGATTACCAGTTGAGACAACAATTGAGTAAACTGTTGCGCCTATGTTCAATGTTGGCAAGATGGTAGCACTGGTAGGACTTCCGACCGGTCCTTGTGGTTGATCAAAAGACACCACTCTGGTCGTTCCGGCGAGTTCACTAAGAATCGCAATGGGAGCAACATATGCTCGAGACTCTTATGTACCTAAGTGTATAGGCTCTAGACTCGAGGTGCACAAAATCGAAGTTGTAGGCTGGGGCAGCAGCCTACTTGTTTCAATATCTACATTCTCTGAGTGAGAAGTAGATAGAGTATGTGCTATATCCCTGTGATGAAATGAAACAACTGGTTGTTGAGAACCAGTTGAGTGGTCGGGTTGGGTGTGCAAGTGCATAGCTGGGCTAGCTATGTCTTCTTCAATACCAACATTCAACGGATGAATGTCGATAGCAGATGTGGGTGCCCGACTATGTGTTTCGGCTAGGATAGGAGCTTGTTCTTCATTTTGTGCTCCACTCACACCCTCACCATCTTTTTCTTCTTCCCTTACAATCAACCTCTCAGCATTTTGACCTCAGCTCCCTCATCACATTCTTCTTCAAGAATATCTGAAATATCTTCCAATATACGATCATAGTCATCAAATCTGCCTCCAAAATCATCAACATTGAAGGATAGAGAATGCAGACTTTGACAAGTCTGTGGAGCTTCAAACTTTGAAAAAATATCATCAATATTATCAACCACTGCTCCAAGTTGAATATTCTGAGAAGGAATCGGTTAAGCAGGGTTGTCAGCATCATCATTATCATCATCATCGTTATCTTCACCCTGAGCTGCCTGGTTATCGGATATCGTATCTTCTGAACTTCAAGAAGTCATGGAAGTACTATCTATTGAAGTACATGCTGATCAGAGGCTCCTCACTCCTCATCACCCCTCTCATTTATATTTTCTCTCAACGCACAACCCTGTTCAGGTAACCCTTGTTCCTGAACACTATCACCTACAACTATACCCTCTCTCTCAGCTGAGACATGGGGTGATCCCGGGGTAAGTTCAACCAGTTCTGGTTGAACTATATGATCTATCACTCGCCTATAGTTTACCACACACTGAGCCCTATGATCAGCGAAGGAAAATAGCTCAGGTGGGATTTCCATTATGGAGTCCAAATGTTCAACTTCGGTAGGTTGCCGAATGCGAGTCATGACAAACAACGGGCCAATTTCATTGTTTGTCCTGGCCGGAATGTCTTTGTTTGAGTTCATCATGGCTTTTATGAATAGTTGCAGAAATCGTGAAATGACACGAACTTCCTGGCTTTAGACGGAAATCTTTTAGCATTGACGAGCTCGACCAGTTCATTCCATATTATGAGCGCATAATCGTACTTGCGCGTAAATACGATCCCATGGAAGAACTTCAGGAATGAACTGCTGCACGTATGAATTCCCGCAGTCTTTGATATTAGGCATCTGTTAAGGATTGAGAACAGGAGATGCCAGATCGACAGTAGGAAACGCCGTTTGAACTGTGACGGATTAGTCAACTCTTGCGAGTATCCTAACCATTTGATGTTACGGCAGAGTTCGTCGTCGGTTACAAGTGACTCAAAGCCTGTCGAGCCCGGTCCTGGAAGGCGTAGTATTCTTCGGAGTCGTTTTAGCGTCAAACGACTGACATACTTGTCTACGCTTCCTTCGAAGTAGTATGTATCTCCGTCTTTGGCCAATATTAGTGTATTCCAAAACTGCTGAAGGTATATCATTGGGACAGGTGTATGGGCAGAAAGAGAATACGAAATTGGATGTCCGCAAAGAATTTCTGGAATAATTTGGTATTCGGCGGGCATATCAAAGTTAAAAGAATGGTTATTCGGTTTTATTTTGAGGAACTGGCTTTGTGGGAGTAGGATTTCTTCGGGTATGGGATTGTTTGTGGGCTGGTTTTGGTTATTGATGTTATCAGATCTGACCGAAGGAATATGGGATTCCTCGTCAGACTGATGTTGTTGGTCAGCCATTTGTACCTGTAAAATACCCAAAATATTAGATCACGATTAACAAAATAAAGC